GGTTTAGCTGACTATTGGTATTGGCTACCCTCAGACGAAAAGTTTATGTACAGTTATTTCTTATCGAAGACTATGAAAAAGAATAAAAACGAAATATTAATTTTGTTTATCATGAAATAAGTACTATATATTTAGGTGTGACCAAAACATGTTATTCACATTCATTCATTTTTTTTCAACTTTATTTGTTATTTGTATGTCAAATGACTTGTTAAGTACAAAATTAAAAGTAGTCAAGAAATTTGGAAACAGAATATAGAAAATATTATACGTTGACCTGAGGGCTTTAATATTTAGATTTGTAGCTGAATACGAGCCGGGTCTGAAAGTAAATCACATGTGGATCCGGACCCAGACCCGGACCCGGGTGATATCATATTTCTAGACCCGGACCCAGACCCGGACCCGGGTGACATTAGTTTTCTGGACCCGGACCCGGACCCGACCGGGTCTAGACCCGGGTCCGGGTCCGGGTCTGGACAGACCCGCTCCTCTCTAGAGCACAGATATAAATCACCAAGGTTTTCTTATAACTATCAAATGATCAGGATCGATTTCAATAACATATTAATTGCTATCCTTTTCATTAAATGCACAAATAGCTGCAAACAGTCTGCATTAACAAGAAAAAGTGACTAGCTTCTTCACTATTTTCATAAAACTGGCAAAAATTACCAATATTTTCTTTCATTTTCTTCTTTTGATACAGTTAAACACAGTATAAAACTCACATAAACTATACTTAATTACTGGTATCATTTCAGGATAGAAAAGTCTTCTGAACACCGATAGACTAAAAGGGCTTACGAGAGAGACTGCAATATCAAAAGACTTACGTCTGCTTCTTGTAATAGAACGATATTGACGAATATTGTAATAACGAATATAATACCTTGGTAATGTATCGATGTTGTTTAATAAAGAAAATGAAAGTAATATTTTGCTTATATGTGTATCGAAATAATGTTTGGCTGGCGTGCATTCAACCTTATACGTTGGATAAAGCATGATCATATATTAATGAAACAGACTGGGTTTTTTTCCCACAAAAATGTTATTATTCTTTTGCTTGTTCTATCACTTGTCGATGAGACAGCTTGAATAATAAAGAGGGAAAGTTAATCGATGGTTGGAAAAATGTGCATAATATCACG